CGCATCCAGCGCAGAGCGGCTCGAATCGTCGACGACCGAGCCCTTTCCGATCGGCTTGATTCATTGGCACTGCGAAGAGATGTTACATCCCTTTGCATTTTCTTTCGCATCTACCATGGGGAGTGCTCTGAGGAATTGTTCGGATTAATCCCAGCCGCCAAATTTCACGAACGCACATCGCGGCAGAACTCCCGATACCATCCACACCATCTGGATGATTGGCGGTCCACCACTGTATGATTTAGAAGATGTTATCCTCCTCGCACGACTTCCTTGTGGAATCGATTACCATCAGCGATTTTTCCGGACCGATACGACTTAGGGACCTTCAAGAAAAGAGCGTACTCCTTTTTAAAAGGCCGGCAACGCATCTGCAATTCCCTCCCTGGTGTTGCAGTTGTTCATGGGTGGCGGTAGTCACTTACCATCAGATGAGCCGCATGCCTTCGGCCCATTGCCACTTCAGCTTATTACACTTAGTTTATGAAACATGCAGTATGGTAATGAAGGGGGTGGCTCATGCCCATAAGCTGTGTGATAACTGTAATAATCGAGTCGCTTGAAAAAAATATCAGTAATTATTTTATACATATATTGAGTGAGAATCTGACAATTCTAGAGAATTCTGAAAAACAAGAAGATTTGGAGATCGATGCTTTTGAAGATAGACATACGGATTCGGAGTACGACTTGCCGCTGATTGCATTTGGTTCAAAGATTAAAAAAGATGACGATGACATAGGTAAATTAATTAATGTTAACAAAACCTTTATCAAAAAATAAAAATAAATCACCACAAAGGAGATGTATGAAATTGGGTGCTTGACATCGTTTCTAACAGTCATACAAAAATATGGAGGTAATAAAATGATAACTTATAAGCATAAAATAAATGGTTTTTATCTCTGTAATGCTTGGGACAGTGATAAAAAAATTTTTTTTAAACTGAAATACAAAGCTAATGCTTTTGCTTTAGCAATAACGAAAAGTTTTTAAATATCTTTCTTTATTTTGTCTATGGCAATAGATAATAAAGGCTATTTTTAAAATAAAATAGCCTTCCTTATTAAAAAAAAAATATAATATTGAAACATTGAAATGAATCTGTAGTGATTAATATTAAATAAAATAATATATTTAGAAAACGATTGAATAGGCTATATCATAAAACATGAAAATATTTGAATATTAACGACTGAATAGGCTGTATGGTCATTGACCATTGCATATTCCGAAGGAGACTTAACTTGTTAACTTCGAGTTTCATCTTGTCATGCGGCATGCGCATTTGGAATTGTAGCTGTTTATTTTTTTTTTGGATAGATTTCGTGTTTTTACTTTTGTGGATTTATTTAACTTTACCCTTGGATTTTCGCTCGGATCACAGGACATTAGTTTGTTGCGCCCACATATTGAAAATAATGTTGTAATAAGTTTTGAGAGGAATAGAACAGACAATGTGCAGCCTCCGGCTGTTTTTTCAAATGCCATTTTATTGATAATTGCAGAAAATAGTTAAACAATTAAAAAAGGTTGAGTGTTATTTTACTGTATTTAATAATAACTACAAAACTGTATTCTTTTGTTCATTTCAATTTTTTCAAACAACTTATCACAAGAACGAGTACTACATAACTTACAAATCATAAAACATAAAATAAAAACAAAATCCCAAGTCCTACAAAAATATATTTTTTTTATATATTAAGTAGCAAATGTTAAATCTTCAAACTAAGACATATTCTAGGTTTGTTTACGCCGGGCCCAAGCTTGTATGGAATCAATTTCATCTCCTTTCTCTTGCATCAAGTAGTTGGAGATGTACTATACATACATAATTTTGTTCATTAAATACTTATTTACTTTAGTCACTAGGCAATAAAATATCGTGCGCCCAGCGAAGCGAGTGATTATCAGCTAGTGTTTAATATAATGGATTTTCGCAATGTAACGTCTGATTCTATTAATAATCTTTTTGTCTTGCCTTATAACGCGGTCGAAGCCACCTCTGCCGTTTTTTAACATCCTTTGCGATTTCAGTTATTTTTAGGATGTGAGTACAAGGGATGATCCAAAAGTAATTATTGATAATGAATATTAAACACGGTGATTATTGTTAAAAAATAATTTATTTTTCCACATAGTGCTAACAAGTCAATGCATTTAGTCCATTTTTGCTCTAATCCCAGAATTCTCTTAGAAAAAAAAAATTATCTGCACCCTCCAAAAAAGCCTCAACAGCGTATTCACTTCGCTATCGACTGCAAATTTCTTGCCTCGAAGGTGTTCCTTGAGCCGAGGAAATAAATAGAAGTCACTGAGAGCTAGATCTGGCGAATAGGTTGGGTGTTCGAACAGTTCAAATCCTGTTTCTTGGCAGCCATTGCAACTGCGGCTTTGTGAGCCGGAGCGTTGTCTTGGTGAAACAGCACTCCCGCTCGCAATTTGCCGCGTCGTTTTCTTTAATAGCCTCCTGCAATCTTCTTATTTGGTCTGCGTAGTCGAGAGTATAAGCCCGAAATAATGGCTCCCTTTTCCAAATATTCCACCATAATTATTCCTTCAGCGTCCCCAAAAACTGACGCGATAACCTTTCCCACTGAACTTGACACTTTGAATTTCTTTGGCGTCGGGAGGAGGCTCGGTTCCAAAAAGTTGATTGTTGTTTGGTTTCAGGATCGAAATGGTAGATCCATCTTGACCATGGTCACGAAACGTAATAAAAAAAAACTGATCTGCTTGGAACCTTTGAGATTCACCCTCAAAATGTCGACAAATTTTTTCTTTTACTCGTCCGTTAACATTCTAGGTACCCAACGTGCAGAGACCCTTTTCATATGCATTTCGTTCGCAAGGATTCTTTGAAACTGGCATATGAGATACCTGTGACCTCAGCTATATGCCTGATGATCACTCTTCGATCTGCCAATACGACATCTTCGACTCTTTTTCACGTTATCTTCAGTGAGGGATGTGGATGGGCGTTCATCTTCCGTGGATGTTCAGCCCAGCGTGCAGTTGTGGAAGGAGCAGAGTCCCTCAATGTTTCACCAAGTCGCTGTGTATGTCTTTGGTAGACATTTTTTTAAACAGAGGGAGCTCTCATTTAATTTTTCTTCATTTTGATGTTCTCTTTGATGATTCGTATTCAAATGAATGTACCTCTCGGGAATCGTAGCTTATTTATATGATTTTTTTAAATTCTGATCTAGTGGGTACATAAGCAAGCACAAAAGTTTTTTCGGATTTTCATGTGCACTGGAAATAACCTATTATCATTATTATCATATATTATTATTATTATATATAACACTATTATCATTTTGGATCACCCCTCGTATTTAGGAATACGATTTTTCATTAAGGTTCCGGTTCCATTTATATTTCTCCCCACTGTTTTCCAATAGAGGAATAAATGTGTGTGGAATAGCGGTTTTTTTTAACTTTCATGCAAGTCTTTTCATTGTTGCGCGGCATCTAGCTTCGATTGTTAAGTTTTTTACATTAGTGCCTGCCAGTAGCTGGAGACCTTCCGTACAGGCCGCGACGTTTGGCGCGTAAAAAATAATATGGCCTAGCGCTTGACGGGTTAGCAAAAATCAATATTTAAGGTTAACTGAGAGGTGTAGCCTGATGATATATTATTCATATACTATTCCTCATGAAAAAACCCTTCCACTTTATTATATTAGTATAGATTACAAAGTTATAATGCAGTTGTTGTGTTATGTTCATGTTATTTTTATGTTTATGTCATATTCTCTTACTCTTTAGGTGTCGTTCCAAGCTTATGGAAGACAGCCTTAGTGCATTCGATTCCTAAAAAAGGCTGGGACCTATCCAAATACAGGCCTATCGTCGTCACTTTCTTGTTCTCCAAAATAATGGAATCCATTATTAACTGCCAGCTCACGCAGTACCATGAAGAGCATAAGCTGATTACTGACCTTCAATACGGTTTCCGTCGAAGCTGTTAGGATCGATAGGACGGAAACGGCATGTATGTATGTATGTATGTATACATACATACAAAATACATACATACCTACTTACAAAATTAACTATTTTATGGGTGCCAGTGGAGACTGGGCCTGGGTTGCTAGCGTATTGTAAAATTTTACGGCAAACTCCTAGCTCCCGAGCTACCAGGGCTTGTTGTGAATCTTTGTATGGCCTACAAATAATTCCTCTATCTTAATCTTCCCGTAAACTTCCACAGCTGAACATGGAAGGATCTCTCCCGATGTAGGGAGGATTTGCCCTGAGAGTCACGTTTGGCATAGGACTGACGATCGCAGAACCAGACGTGAGTACCTCTGGCAATGTCGCCTGGCGCCGGTCTGGATATTTTACATCTGAAGTAAACGAGCTGGTTATACCGCCATCTGTCGGAAGCCATCAGATTTCCTGGTAAACCCGTAGTCATCTCTTACGAAACCCACGGGAAAAATGTGATGATAAATTCATTTATGCCGCACTTACGCCAAATTCGATTGTACTGTGTGTATAAAACTAGTCCTGTGTGGAATTCGAAACATCGATTATTAGATTAATGTAATTATAACATGGACAGAAGAACCATTATTTCCCTCAAAAATTAATATGAGAGACATTATTCGGGGTAAATGACTAAAATACTTTATATCTAGCAACATTATTTGGTATAATTATTTAAAATATTACAATTTCTCTATTTCTGCCTGGGTTAACATAATACATAATACATAAACACTCACGCCTGTCACCCAGAGGGGTAGGCAGAGACTACGGACTTCCATTTGGCGCGATCCTGACACACCTCTCTCGCCTCTTTTACATCCATATATCTACGCATACACGCTCGTCGGTTAAGGGTACTCCTAATTCTAATCTGGGTTAACCGATAGAGAATGCCATAAGGCATAAACTCCGCCCATTGTAAACCGTTTAATGTGTCTTGCAATAAAGATGCAATGACTTACAATAAATAAAAAGTTTAACTACGACATATAATTTTTCAGAAACTTCTGAAAAGAAGATTAAATCAAATTCTACTGATTGTAACATAAACGATGTTCGTAAAGAAAACCTCGATTTTGAAGGCCCTACTATTAAATCAAACCCTAAAATGAAAAACGATAATCAACCAATTAATAGAAAAGGAAAGCATCCTGCAAAGATAATGAAAAATAAAATTTTAAAACAAAAGAGTGTAAATATACTTAAGAAAAAGACATCTGGGACATCAACTAAATACATTTTTGAATGTGATGGTTGTAGTAAAAAATTTTCAACAAAAGACATTCTCGCCAAACACATTTCATACAGTCATAAGACGCAAAAGAACTCAGACACCACTGCATTTCGGACACAAGTAGAATTAACTCCAGTACCACAACAAACAGAAATATTTAATTGTGATATTTGCGAATTTAAAACATCTCAAAAACGTAACATTTTGGCACATCTTAAAGCGCACGTCGCTAAACAAATGTACTGTTGTAATAATTGTGAATATAAATGTATTAGAAAAAGTGTGTTGCAAATGCACATGAAAATACACACCGGTGAAAAACCTTTTTCGTGTAATATCTGTGAATATAGATGTATTACAAAAAGTCGTTTGCAAAAACATATGAAAATACGCACCGGTGAAAAATCTTTTTCGTGTAATGTCTGTGAATATAGATGTATTACAAAATGTAATTTGCAAAGACATTTAAAAACACACACTGGAGCAAAACCTTTTTCGTGTAATATCTGTGAATATAGATGTATTAGAAAAAGTCATTTGCAAAGACATATGAAAATACACACCGGTGAAAAACCTTTTTCGTGTAATATCTGTGAATATAGATGTATTACAAAAAGTCGTTTGCAAAAACATATGAAAATACACACCGGTGAAAAACCTTTTTCGTGTAATATCTGTGAATATAGGTGTATTAGAAAATGTGATTTGCAAACTCATATAAAAATACATACTGGAGAAAAATCTTTTTCGTGTAATAGCTGTGGATATAGATGTATTAGAAAAAGTGATTTGCAAACTCATATAAAAATACATACTGGAGAAAAACCTTTTTCGTGTAATATCTGTGAATATAGATGTATTAGAAAAAGTACTTTGCGAACTCATATGAAAATACACACTGGTGAAAAACCTTTTTCGTGTAATATCTGTGAATATAGATGTATTAGTAAAAGTGATTTGCAAAAACATATGAAAATACACACCGGAGAAAAACCTTTTTCTTGTAAAATCTGTGAATATAGGTGTATTAGAAAAAGTACTTTGCGAACTCATATGAAAATACACACTGGTGAAAAACCTTTTTCGTGTAATATCTGTGAATATAGATGTATTAGTAAAAGTGATTTGCAAAAACATATGAAAATACACACCGGAGAAAAACCTTTTTCTTGTAATATCTGTGAATATAGATGTATTAGAAAAAGTACTTTGCGAACTCATATGAAAATACACACTGGTGAAAAACCTTTTTCGTGTAATATCTGTGAATATAGATGTATTAGTAAAAGTGATTTGCAAAAACATATGAAAATACACACCGGAGAAAAACCTTTTTCTTGTAAAATCTGTGAATATAGATGTATTAGAAAAAAAGATTTGCAAAGACATTTAACAACACACATTGGAGCGAAACCTGTTTCGTGAGCTATCTGGTGAAATATGTACAATATTGTGTAAACGTGTTTTATATAAATATGTGTGTACCAGATAAAAATCTATTTTTTGTGAATTTGTGATGTAATAAAACCTTTCTGTGTCTTATGTGCAAATTGAAACTGCATTTATTCTGAAGAAGTTAATTCAATACCTAATTTAAAATATTGTACAACCGAATTCAATACAAACTATTAAGAATAATTCAAAAACTATTGGTCAAATGACCAACAGACCTTGATCAAATTTATATGGGATCACATGTGAAGCACCTGCTTTCAAATAAAAAAAAAAGAATTATCGAAATCGGTTCATACAGAATAAGTTAAGACGTAATAAACATAAAATAGAACATACAGTCGAATTGAGTACCTCCTCCTTTTTGTAGTCGGTAGAAAGCAAAAAATATTGGAACCTTAAAATAAATACCGAATGTGTGAATGGAGGTTAGTGGAAACAGACTAGACCTTCATGTTTTTTTTTTATTTTGATGATAGTTTACGTTTTTCTTTTATCGCCTCGACGTTTATTGTTTCCGTTACAGCCCTTAAAACTACTCTGTTGAACATAGGCTTCCCCCGTGGCTTGCGTCATATTTGCCTTAGTTGCCATGCAGGTGGGTTGGCAACCGCGGTTTGTTTATTATTTTTACTTGTAATCAGGGAGACGCAGCTGTCCATCTTGTAGTTTGTTTCCCTCTGTCGCCTCTTACGACACCCGCGGGACGATACGGGGTAGTGGATTGTCTTACACTATATCACATTATGATGCTGTGTGGTGGTGTCTGTCTGTACGTGGTAGAGCCACACTGCAGCTATATTGTGGTTGTAGCACGAATGGATCGGTGGGTAGGACCACGCTCTCACAGAATACCAGCATGAAATAGCAGCTTTAGTGAGAAAATAGTGTTTCGTATAGTGAGTGTAGAGAACTGGAGACCCTTTTTACTGGTTACGAGGCATTCCTTCTCAGTCCTCATGGGTGACAACGCATCTTCATTTCATGTCTTAATTGAGGATAAGGATTCTTAATCTTTCGACCGCCAAAGTCGCCTATACTTGACCAGCACCTGCGGGCCCTGAGCGCCAACGACGTCTATAATTGACAAAAAACCCGGCCCACAAAAATATGAAATATAGATATTGGAAAATTATTACTGGTATTTTAATTCCACACTCCTGAAAGAAGAATAACCCAGCAACATGTGAGTATAAAAAACAAGTCTCCTAGAGCCACAAGTACTTAGAAACATTGAACTAAATAAATGGATTTTTATCTAAGCAAATACTATGTCCAGCTCGCCAAAGTCGTCTATAGTTGACCGCTAGTACCGTGCGCGAGGGGCATAGATTTCTTGAAAACTAGCCAAAGTTCAGCTCAAACGTAGTTATTTTTTTTTTCTATTATTATTGATATTTGAATGAAACAAAAGGTTAGAAACAAAACTATAATTAGCTACATGAATAAAAAAATATTATCAAATCATCTTCGCATAATAAATCTAATATCTGAACTCTGGCGCATCCTTAGCGCGTCATCGAAAATCAGTTCACTGGGCGTAGGCGCCGTGGTCAAGGATAGACGACACCCTGATGACGTCATAAGTGATTAGCGGGAAAAGTAGTGCAGTGCAACATGAACGATTCTGACCGATTTACCTAATGCAAATAATTATATACAATTGTTGATTAGGGAATAATTATGTACCTTTTTTATTTTAATAATATAAAATTACAAATAATAAATGTTTTTTTTTTACTCAAGGTATGAAGAGCAATTTTTCATTTTGTGTTGTGCGATTTTCTTTCTCAATCTGAAAATCATCCGGCAGCATCAGCGTCATATCAAACCCCCATTGTCATAAAAGCGTTAGACTTTTCTTCTGTGCTCCACTTGACCTACGTCTCCTCCGACACATAAAATATTTTGATTCGATGTCTGTATATTTTAGTTAGATCGATTTCGAAATCGATTCACAACGTGCGACGGCTACATCTCTAACAAAGTTTCAAAAAGGAAGGTCAGCAACGCCGTTGTTGTCCATTCGTGACAGTGACGTCATCACGATGGAGAGTAGTGCTGTGGTTTACTACTATTTTATTGTTATTGTTTGCTTTTTATTTATGTACAAATTGCATATATAAAAAGAGTGGAAGACAGCACAAGATTAAATAAAACATACCAGATTATAAAGAGTCCTTTATTGCATAAAAAACCAACAAAAACAAGTTATTTTGTGTTATCGATATATCAACTCTTGGCAACACTGTTATTTTCGTAGGTATTTTTGTTTACTTTTCGCTTTGACGTACAGGACACGGTAATGCGTTTTTGGCGTGGCGGTCAAAAGGTTAATAGATGTCCATGGTCCACAGCTGCACAGCATTCACTTACCATCAGGTGGACTGTGTGCTCGTATGTCCCCCTTATTCTATTTAAAAATTCAACGAATATCTCAGATCCACACCGGCTTGAAACCATTCAAGTGTGTGGTGTGCGAGAAATTAGTTAAGCATCTTCATAAGAAGCGGCTTTACTTCACATACGTTCATTTAAAGAAGCCGTGGCCGAAACGCGCGAGAAAGGAGTCGACGAAGTCGCAACAGGTCAGTAGTGTTCCGTGCGGAGTGAGTAAAATTGTACATTAATAGGGATATGTATGTATCCTATCCACCCACTCAGCAAGTATATAATGACGTCGGTCGAATTCTCGTAGTCAATCCCCGAAGTAGCGTCAATGACCCTCCACCAGTATGCAATAATAATGCATACGCAATTTGAGTGACTCCAAGCTAACGTGCTAGTGGGGGGTGGGGTTCTCGTTCCGTTCACGCCCGTTTTAATCTTATTTAAAAACGAATATATCATAGATAAGGGTATGATAGTTAAGCTAGCGCTCGCCGGCACCAACCAATGAAATTGTTAATTGCAATTTTAAGTGCTGATCTATCAAGTGCTCGTCGGTGAAGTATAACTGTACGTCTAAAAAATTTTAAAAAAAACCTAATTTGTAAATTGATCTGAGTTTGGCACAAGTACTTTCATTGCTTTCCTATTCCTATGTGGAGCTGGAATAAAGTTTAATGAATAATGGCATAAAACTAAAAACGAGAAAGAAAAACTCTTGTTTTTATATCAATCATTCATGTAGGCTTGTTTTAAAGCAACCGTTACAGCAAAAACCATATCCGAAGCATTTTTGTGACACAATGCAGTTATGTTATGGTTGTATTACGAATGAGTCAGCTCGACGGGGAAAGACTGATTTTATTGCGTACGCACACATTCGTAATGGTCGATCGGCAGGCAAAAACGTTGTTGCCCAAAAATCACATTCAGTTTGGGATTTTTGCAAATAAACATAGAAGCTTTATTTACCATTCTATAAACACTCACACCTGTCACCCAGAGGGGTAGGCAGAGACTACGGCCGTTCTACAAAGTGAAAGATATTACTCAATTTATACAAAAAAAAAATAAGTATATCATACATTTTCCGAAAGAAGTTTAGTAATTTCACTGATATTTTCATCATTTAACTTTACTTGTTCATCATGAAAATCTGAAAGAAATTTTCAAAAAAAATCTTATTATAGTCGCTTTGCCATTGCCACGCCAATGTGACTGTACATAACAAAAAAAACTAAGAAGTCGAATATACTGAAGCATCAACCACCAACCAGTAGGGCGCGAGCGCCGATAGCTGTTAAATGTTTTGTCTCCAATTAAATTAATCGCCCGCGTAAATTACTTCCGGACGGATCTATTTTTTACATTGAGAAACTAAGTAACAGGCGTGAGTGATTTGTATCCGATGTCTTACTCAAACCACAGAATAAATAATTGCTTAAACGCGAAATATTTTAATATATTGATACGTCTTGGAATCACCGCGACCACCTGATCTCACACCTTTGGATTTTTATCTCCGTGGTACGATTAAGCATTCACTTCGTATGTCAAAAAACATTCGATACCGGGGCGGAACTAGGTATGCGAATAGTCGCAGCCTTTGCAAAAATAAAGTCTGAAATATTTGTTCTGCAACGTGTGTGTTCAGATATTATAATATTAATTTAAGCCGGTGTCACAAGTGCACAGAGATAAAAGGTGGTCGTCAAGTAAATATTATATGTAGTGATGAATCAGGCTTTGTGCATAATTATCACAATCGGTCAAAGTAAAATTTTAAAAAGTTGTGATAATCGATTACTAAAGTGATAACAGCTGAGTGATGTGACGAGTTCACGACCTTGACGCAGTTAGTATAGGTAAGACGCGGCTTGCTGTTTCGCTTTGGCGCGTTATCATTCCATGCAGAGGTAATCGATCCACACACAATTTACAAATATTAGAAATAGCAAATACAACAATACTACCGTTGGCAAATCTTTGTTACATAGAGCTCGAGGGATCTGTGACAGCAAACACCTGGCCGCCGAGCTTTATCAGCACGTCAAGCAGGTTCTGCACGACAACAAGATTCGGATTCCGCACCTAAGTCACCGTGACCGAGTGAAGCCGGCCACAGCCGAGTGTGTGCCTGCTGTACTACCATAGTCAGAGGTGTCACAGACAAGAAAGGCGACATCTTGAAGCGGGCTTATTAGAACATTCTTCAAGCCGCCGAAGAAGATTAGTCAGTTCTTACAATCCGTCAAGTGCAATATTCCTCTACAAGAGGCAGTAGTGTACAAACTTGATTGTGAATGTGGTCTCTCATATATAGGGCAAATAAAACGATCAATAAAAACCCGCGTAAAAGAACACATACCTGACGTGAAGCATCAACGTTCCGGAAAGTCTGCAGTTTGTGATCATATCCTAGACGGCCCCCGCCATTCCATTAGATTTAACTATACTACTGAAACTACTGAAATAAACCACAAATTCTCGCGAAAGAACATCGATTCCTGCCAAGGATGATGCGTGAGGCTATTGAAATTAAAAAACATCCTAATTTCAATAGAGAGGGAGGCTGGGTACTACCACCTGCTAGGGATCCTGTAATTAATAAAATTAAAACTAAACCCAAGCATACCACTGCAAGACTTCAAGACACAGTTAGTTCATTCTGCGTAGATCGGACCAAAATTAATAATTAAAAAAGCTGAAGGTACTCCGGGCAGGCCTACGTCACTCGCTCAAGACTCTGCGTTATATGCCTACCGTTTTGCGTATCGCCTACGATACAACCGACATTGGGCTGCCGCATGCCCGCCTGAGCGTTTGCACCGCGCACGTTTCCCGCGCTTACTCGTCGAAATGCCGAAACCACGTAATTATTGTGCAGTGGATGGGTGTCAGAGTCAAAAAACAAATGAAAAATTGTCTTTGTTTTTCTTAACTATAAGATTACATCGAAACAAAGCATAACAGTGCTGTAATTTATAAATTGAGTGACAACCATTTTCAACGATAAAATTTAATAACCGAGAATTCAAATGGAAGGAAAAAATGTATAAATCATTTTTTAAAACTCAAACATATTTTATTGGCAAATAAAAAATATGGTAATTTCGCAAGATTCGTTTTATTACAATAATCATCATAGGTACAACCCTAGAGCATTCGTGCGATGACGCGCTTGCACGTGAGTCGCACGGCGGTCAACACAATCTCGACTCTTTTTGCGCGTATTTATGGTACATTTTCCTCTCGCTGCGAACAGAAGATATTATTATTAAGATTTTGTAGGCTATTATAGCGTAGGTATTTTCGCTTTTGTATGGGAGTGATGTATCTGTTTAGTAAACTATTAACTAATCTGTGCTCCGGGTTAACTCTGACATTGGGACGTCAATCACCTTACTCCCCCGTGAACCCGAAACGTCGGGAATTAATAAAAATAAGTAAATTAAACGCGATAAAATCCGTAAAAGTAGTTTTATTCAGTGTGTAGTGTTCGCGTAAATATAATAAATCATATTTATTATCACAAAAATTTAAATAATATCGGACACGATTGAGTAGGCTGTATGGTCGTTGATCATTGCCTGTTTTGAAGGAAACTTAACTTTGTAACTTCGAATTTAAACTTGTCATGCGCATTTGGCATTGTGGTTGTGTTTGTGGATATATTTCGTGTTTTCATTTTCGTGAATTAATTTAACTTAACCCCTGGGTTTTCTCTCGATTTACAGGACAGTAGGTTATTGCGCCCACGTAATGACAATAACGTGTTACTTGGGTTTTGAGAGGAATAGAACAGACAATGTACAGCCTCCGGCTGCCTTTCTAGATGACATTTTATTAATAATTGCCGAAACTAATTAAACAATTAGAAAAGTTTAAGTTGTATTTTATTTTATTTTAGTTAATAATAACTAAAAAGGGCATCCTTTTGTGTTCTTTTCAATTTATTGAAAAAATTTATCACAAGAACGAGTGATTTTACTACATAACCTACAAATAATAAAACAAAACCCTCAGGTCCTACAAAAATATGTTTTTTTGTCATTAGTAACAAATGTTTAAATCTTCAAAATAAGATACATTTGAACTGTTTACCCCGGGCCCAAGCTTGTGTGGAACGAAGTTCATCTCCTTTAAAACAAAAATTGAAAATGATAAGAATTTATAAGTATTTTTGGATGATAACAATTACTATATTATAGTAAAATTATTTTGTCCGTGCAGTTGGGGTCATAAATCATAGCTAGGCCTCAGCCCGGCTAGGGCGGTGAGCATGTTGCGCGGGCACAACACCATTATCGATAACAATAAATGAATCATCGAAGTCAGGTACACGGCGGCGGTGCGGTATACAAAAGGCTGGTGCGACATTGTTATGTTATGAGTCATTGGCAGAATTTATTCAAAATAATATTTTGCTTGGTGGCACCAATATACAAGCACAAGCGTGTTGTTATCAACAATGTATTAACATTTTTCACTGAATTGAAAATAGATTCCGAAAAGTTACAAAGTGTTAATTTCTGCCGTTCTCGTGAACTTGCTGCGGCGATATGTGGTGTGAGCGTTAGAACTTTTACACTATCGATAACGCTTATCGACAACAATAATGCGCGTCACTATGATCGCCCGGCCCTTGAGTGCAAGAGAGAGCGCAATATTCCGATAATTTATGACCCAAAGTGCACGGACAAAATAATTCTAGTATAGATATACAGATGGCGGTAAACTAATTCTCATGAAAAGAGCGCTATTTTTATTTATTTATTCTTTATTGCATTCCTTAATCTAAAAGAATACAAAGGGCGGACTTAATGCCTTGTGGCATTCTCTACCAGTCAACCCATGGAGTGGTGAGAATTTGAAGTAGGTGTAGCAATATAGAATAAAAACAAAATAGAAATGTATAATTAATTACGTTATATATACATTTTACTAATATATACAATAAATAAACTATAAAAATATATCCTATTTATACATGTATACAAATATATACGTACATACATAAGCATACATATATTCATACCAACATAAATATACAAATAATACATATAAATAACTATAAATATATACGTCTAAAATATAAATGACATGGATGATTCATCTAAGAAGCGTTGTCTTTAACAGATGATTACGCACCAACTTTTTAAAAGCTTTTCTGATGTCGTCAGGCAAGGAATTCCAAAGGCGTGCAGCCTGAACTGTAAAGGAGTTACCATAGAACTTGGTGAAGTGAACTGGAATACATATTTTGTTGTTAGAAGACGAACGTAGAACCCTATCATGAGATGAGGAGAGATAGTGAAATTTACTCTTAAGATAAGAAGGCGAAAATAGGTCATTTAATATGGAAAAAAGAACAAGTAATATTCTGAAAATACGCCTCTGCCGGATTGTAAGCCAATTAAGCTTAGATCTATATTGCGAAATATGGTCATACTTACGAAGCCCGAAAATAAATCTTATACAGTTATTGAGAAGGCGTTCCAGCTTGTTCAGAAGATCCTGGGACAGATCCCGGGTAACACACATCTGCATAATCAATTATGGGTAATATGAGTGATTGGACAAGCATGATCTTAGACTTTGTGGGGAGAAAATGTTTTAAACGATACAGAGTACGTAACGTAGCAGTGACTTTACGACTGACTTCAGTAACCTGAGTTCTCCAATTCAGCGTGTTGTCAATGTGTAGGCCAAGATTTTTTACAGACTTACTGAACGGTTTTGTACTCCCATTGTAGTAGATAGAGGGTATGTCTGCAAGATTAATCTTGGCTAGCATCCTTGAGCTTCCCACCAGTATAGCTTGGCATTTTGAAGGATTGACCAATAGTAAGTTGTTATTTCATTTTTTAATCCCATTATGGATATCCCCAATTTCAGCTTGCACGTATAGCTGAAGGTCATCCCAGGTCATGAAGGACCCATAATTGGGTTTAATGTTCGAAATAACTATAACTTATAAACGTAGACTTACAGCAGAGGAATCCACCACCACAAAATAAGGAAATTAAGGAGAATTAACCAAATACCGAAAAGCACTCACAAGTACGTGTTAACCATTCGACCGTTGGCCATAGACCCTTAATAAAACATGTAATGGAGATTTGATGCTGTCAATGGCTGTCAAATTGAGTTTTTTTTGGCGGGAACTTGACCGGCGGTGGTTTGCTGCTCCTGTATTATTGTTTAAATAATGGTTTGAAGTGGACTTTGATATATAAAAGTGGTGCGATTTTGTGTAGTAAGTGTCTGCGCATGTGAACTATTAGTGAAAACTGTGAAACAAGTGCTCTGATGGTGATGGATTCTCAAGATAAGCTGTTTGTTTGCATAGGCGCCTTAAGATACCATCGCCAACTGTCAGCTGCCTGCCGGCTCAAGTTGCCGTCAAAATTTCCCAAGGGCTGCACAATGTGACGCATCAACATATTGTGAAGCAGTGAACTATGAAGGATAATTATACATGAAGACAAGGCTGTATGGCGTAGTTCTTTTGCCTGCTCTCTCGAGCGAATGATAAAAACAACAACAACAACAACTGTCAAATTGACTGGTAACTTTCAATCCTGTCATGCGCCTAAAATATTACTTTGTTTTGGTTTTGGATTATAATATTTGGCATAATAACTGCCTGCCTTACTGCATTTTATTGTTTTTGAAACTCCTGTTTATTGATGTAAAAGTGAATCCAATTATATTAAAGCTATAGGAAACAAGAATGGCCTTTAGTGAAATTTGTAGAATTTGTTTATGCATTAATGTACGCATGTTTGTTCTAAAGAAGACTAGTCTCCGTAATTTGTATAAAACATTGACGAACAGTTTTGTAAGTTTGTTAATATTTCTTAATACTGAAGATTAGATTAATTATCGCCCTAGAAATACCGTATAACTTGCCTGATATAAAATGAGATAGATCGGGCTAAGCTAAGGTGCAGCTTTAAATATAGTGCAACCAGACAAATGCAACCAGATTCTGAAAAACAACAACTAGCCAAAAATCCTACTACGTATTTGAAGAGAAACCGAGACATAGTAGTTTGTAACACGTGTTAGAGCCCGTGGGCTCAACTTCCACGCGACCCGCACTGCGGTTTAGATATTTTCGCGGTGGCTGTTCTAGTACATATTATTACAATTTCTGAGTATTATTGCGATTTTCTATTAAGAAATTAACATCCACCCATATTTGGAGTATTAAAGTTGGAGATTAGTGCACATGTGCTTACAGATACAGAAATTCCCTCACTCTCATATTTCTCATTTTCCTATCAGGCAGAAATCAGAGAAGGGAATAATGTGCACATGTGTTTGCTTACACACACATGCAATATAATCCTGTCATGCACTGATAAATAGTCTCCATTGTGACATGTGTGAAATTCTGTCTGTAGAGCATTATTATCATTATTTTATATGTAGTGGAGCCACGCTGTAGCTGTATTATGGTTGTATCACAGGCTGGTCAGCTATACAGGGGTGGTGTCATGCTCGTTCAGAATACCGGCATTAAATAGCAGCTTAATGCTGCTCTGACTTGTATGGTGAGTGTAGAGAACCGGACATCCTTTTTACTGAGGCAAGGTGTTCCGTCTTGGTCCTCAAGGGTCAACAGCACATCTGCATTTTGGTTTTTAATTGGGGATAAATTGTAGATGTCTGTGGGCATTCACTTACCATCAGGTGGACTGTGTGCTCGGTTGTCACTCTTATGTATAAAAAAAAATTAGCAGGGCGGCAGTTGAAACAACCGATATAAGCTGAAGCTTTTTACATCTAAGTTATTTAGTGATCTTATGTTATGACCTCTAATAAGTTTGTTGTATAGCCTAGAGGCCAAAAAGTCAAAATGTCTTCTAAACACAGCACTATTTGGTCTTGGAACAGGAGATCGTTCCATCCTTTTTTTTAAATTTAATTTAGGGACAGTGAGACAATGATATCTCCTTAAACTTTGAAAAAGAAATATTTTGCAAACAGATGACACTTTCTCTCTGTCATATACAGATACTGTGGATTGGTGAAATGGTATATGAAAGATTACTTTTAAGATACTTAGCTCTTTGTACACGTTCAACCTTAATTACATAACTTTTAGTGGCACCGCCCCAAGAACAAATGCAGTAATTAAAGACACACTCTCCCAGTGCTTTGTATGTTTTAATGAGTAGTTTGTGATTGGTCACTGTCCGTAAACTTTTAAATATATAAATGAATATTCTTAGTTTTTTAGCCACTGCATCAGTATGGGCCTCCCAAGTTAATTTATGTCAATTATTACACCAAGATATCTGATCAAATGTGTTGTGACTAAATTACTACATTGATATAGTGTTAAGTTTACAGTGCGATTGCAAGGGTACCTGTGGATAGTAATTTTAAAGTTTCTAGTTGGAAAAAAAAGCATTAATCTTACCGAAACATAGGTAACAATAAGGGATAGTAAATTATCTTCAAGCCAACTAGTCACTAATGTAAGACCATTTTCTGTGAGTTGTGCTACTTTATCCCAAGGGTCGCCATGAAAAATCAATACAGTATCGTGAGCAAAAATAGTTAAATTGGCATTTTTTATATTGATTTTACACAATTCATTGACATAAAGAAGAAAGAGTGAAGGACCTAAGAAACTTCCCTGTGGTACACCGTAAGAGCAAGAGGAAGTGCTGATTTATTTGTAAATTCTGACTCGTGGGCGTCTATCTGATAGATAGTCCCTAAACCAGTTATAGACAACACCTCTTATACCCAAGTTTTCCGAACGGTTGAGTGGTATGGGAATCGAAACTGTATCAAAGGCTAAAAATAACAGGCTGTGAAGCATTACATCTTAGTCCTCAGAGGTAACATTGCATCTGTAGCCTTTGCTTGAAGTTCGTTGCAGGTGCCTATGGGCTGCAGCAGCCACTTACCATCAGGTGGATTGTAAGTTTATTTGTTACTTCAATGTTGTAAAAAAGCGATGTTGATGAAGAGAATTGTGTGTTTATTACAAACTTGTATATTTAAGTAGTTTTCCAAATTTATGATGAACTTTCATATTTTCAGATGGATGAGGATGAGGAGCCCATTATTGTCTGTTTCACCTGTCATGCAAGACTCATTCATTGCAGTACATTGCAACAACAGGCTATTGAGTCAAAAACAGTTCTGGAGCAGTTGCTTGCAGGAGGGTCCATGGTATTACCCATTCCACCCATTAAAAACTATATAAGTCTCACATTGATTGCTTCATAGGAGCGATTTTACCAAATTTGCCATGCTTGGCAGGTTGGTAACTGCAGTTTATATTGTTCTGAGTCGTTATCAGGAAGATGCTGTTACCCAACTCCTATTTCTGTTTCCCTATGTTGCATCTTATGGGGATCGAACCTGGGTTGCTCGTGTACTATGAAGCTTACATCGAGCGCTAACCATCTGAGCTATCACGGCTCTTTATACTCTATTGTATATAAACGAAATATTAGCTATATGTAATATTACTCAGTAAACAAAAATCAACAAAGATCTTTGTCAATTTACAGCATTCGTGAATCTGTTTCGAAAAATTGTTGAGACTCGATGCTCGGGATGGATGAACTATCTTCATTCTTATTTAATTATATTTGTAACCCTCCTTTCGTCTGGATTTTATTAATATTTGGACTTGTTGTCAGGAAGATGCTGCTGCCCATCTCCTGTTTCAGTTTCCCGCTGTCCCTTTTTAAGACATCTGCGGGATGGTATGATAGTATGGATTCTCCTACAGCACCACTACACTGGCTTTTTCTCTTATTTAAAATATTTTTTTGGTTTCAGTCAATACCAAATCATGAGGCTAGAGATAAGATTCAATTCACACCAATTAGTCATATAGATATCAGGCCAGTAGAGTGTGATATAGAAAATGATATAGAATGTAACAACGAAATGTTTAGCCTTGAATCTGTTAAAGTTGAGAAAGAGAATTTTGAAAATGAGAATTACAATTTTGAAGGGAATGGGAATCATGAAACAGGTAAGATATGCACATTTTGTGATATTATTAAAATAAGCTAAAAGTTACCTAATGGCAAGTGGGTACTGTAGCCCATGGACACAAAATAATATTATAGTGACATATTGGGGCTTGCCGTGTAGTGGCGGTTACGAATATCCACTACCCCATATCTTCCCGTGGGAAACAGGCACACTCAACCTAAACGTTAAGTTGGAGAGGTATCGTCTAATGAAGTCAACGCACCGTCCCCCTCATGCTCTGTTCCAGAGTCCCGAAACCTTTCAGCTCGAGTTACGAAACTGTTTTCAGTGCCTAGAAGACTGCAATGAAGTGGAAGATATGAATGACAAGCTTGTGGAAACTGTCCATGCGGTCGGAGCTAAGTTCTGCAAGGCCCGCCGCAGAAGAACACAAAAACTCTCCGATCACACTCTTAATCTCATGGCTATTAGATGGGAGATGAAGCTTCATTCTTCAACAGATTTGACACCATACAGGCAACTGAACAGACAGATCTCCAAATGCATGCGGCGGGACTTACGCTACTTCAATACAGCTGGTATTGAAGAAACGATCGAGCAGAACCAAGGCCAAAGTCTGCCAGGGCTGTACACAGCTGTACACGTCATCGTTGGAGCCACACGCAAGTGTGAGTAACGATCCAAGAGCGAGTCTTATCCGACACTATTCCGAAGATATTCCGGACGTCAGTTGGAGCGAGAGTAGAATGGCTCTCCAGCACCTTAAAAACGGAGAGGCCCCAGGCGAGGATGGAATTACAGCGGAGCTTCTGAAAGCGGGTGGAAAACCGGTACTTGAAGTCCTTCAGAAGCTCTTTAATTCCGTCCTCCATAGCGGCATTACATCGGAGGCGTGGAGCAGAAGTGCGGTGGTCTTGTTCTTCAAGAAAGGTGACAACGCTCTCTTGAAGAACTACAGACCGATTTCCCTTCTGAGTCGCGTCTACGTGCTGTTTTCGAGAGTCATTACGAATCGTCTCGCGCGCAGACGACTTCCAGCCTTCCGAACAAGCCAGTTTCCGAAAGGGCTTTAGCAACATAGACCACATACGTACCCTTCGGCAAGTTGTACAGAAGTCCGAGGAGTACAATTTGCCACTAAGTCTGGCGTATGTGGACTATGAGAAAGCCTTTGATTCCGCCGAAATTTGGGCGGTGCTGCAGTCCATTCAGCGGTGCCAAGTTGACTGTCGGTATATAGCGCATCACCAGTGCTGTCATCCGCATAGCAATGAATGTTACCCATTAGCAACATATCATTGATATGCAGAAGAAACAGCGTTGGTGATAGCACGCAGCCTTGTGGAACACCAGCGTTAATAGGCTTGTAGTCAGAACATGCACCGTCTACAACGACCTTGATGCTCCGATCTGCAAGGAAGCTGGTGATCCAATTACACAATTTCTCGGGAAGCCCATAGGAAGGGAGCTTCGAAAGAAGCGTTTTGTGCCAAACCCGATCGAAGGCCTTCGCAATGTCCAGACTAACGGCCAACGCCTCCCCCTTGGACTCTACTGCCTCCGCCCATCTATGGGTCAGGTAGACCAGAAGATCACCAGCTGATCGACCCCGACGAAAACCGTATTGGCGGTCACTAATCAGCTGGTGATCCTCAAGGCACCGGATGAGCTGGCAGTTAATAATGGATTCCATTATTTTGGAGAACAAGGAGGTGATCACGATAGGCCTATAGTTGGACGGGTCTGAGCGGTCGCCTTTTTTAGGGATCAGGTGGACAAAAGCTGTCTTCCATGAGTTCGGGACTACGCCTTGGGAGTAGGAGTACCGGAAAAGACGCGTTAGGACCGGTGCCAACTCCGGAGCACACGTCCTCAGCACAATTGGGGGGATTCCGTCATGCCCACTCGACTTCTGGATGTCCAGGGAGAGAAGTGCTTTGCGAATCGAGCGCTGTGAGAACAGCACATCCGGCATGGAGCACTCACACCACGGGATGGTCGGCGGTGTTTTCCCCCTGTCATCAAGAGTCGGGTTGGATGCAAAGAGGGAGCCTAAAAGGTCGGCTTTGTCTTTTGCGTCTTGGGCCAATGAGTCGTCCTCCCTGTGCAGAGATGGTAGTGATGGCTTACAGAAATTCCCTTGGACAGCCTTGGCGAGAAACCAGAATGCACGGGTTCCCGAAGGAAGGCGAACTAGTTTCTCGCCGATTCTGCCTCTGTGCTCTGACTTTGCTTTGAGCTTACTTTACTTTGACTGGATAGGATACGGTATTAACATCAATGGCGAGTACATCACTCACCTTCGATTTGCCGACGATATATTTCTTATTGCAGAATCGTTGGAGTAACTAAGCTCCATGCTCAATGACCTCAATAGTGTCTCCCAACGGATAGGTCTTAAGATGAACATGGACAAAAAGAAAATCATGCTTAACGTCCATGTCACACCTATGCCGGTAGTTGTTGGGAGCACTAAGCTCGAAGTTGTTGACGAGTATATTTACCTGGGACAAATAGTCCGACTAGGTAAGTCCAACTTCGACTGAGAGGTCAATCGACGGATTCAACTCGGCTGGGTTCTCTGGTTCGGGAAACTACGACACATCTTCTTTTTAGACATACCTCAAAACCTGAAAACGAAATTGTACAACCAGTGCGTGTTGCCAGTGATGACTTACGGATCTGAGACGTGGTCCTTCACTGCTGGCCGTATGAGGAAGCTCAAGGTCGCTCAGCGAGCTATGGAGAGGGCTATGCTCGGGGTTTCTCTGCGTGCTAAACTTAGAAATGAGCTGAAGTGGCAGTGGGCCGGCCATATAGCTCGCAGTACCGACAACCGATGGGGAAGAAAGGTTCTCGAGTGGCAGCCTCGTACCGGTAGGCGAAGTGTAGGGCGACCCCCCACGAGATGGAGTGACGACCTTGTAAGACATGCAGGAAGTCGATGGATGCAGGTGGCTCAGGACCGTGCGTTGTGGCATTACTTGGGGGAGGCCTATGTTCAGCAGTGGACTTATGAAAGGCTGTAATGATGATGATGCAATGATGATGATTGGGGCAGATTAGGCCGTTTGTTCCAGACGGGTACCAATTTACTCGACAAGGCGCCTTTAACACAAACGTTACGCATTCTTAATAGAATGGCTGAAGATAGATTTAACGGTGGTAGAGCCACGCAGCAGTTTTTGCTGTTGCATGTATGGGCCGGCTCGAGCCGGGTTGGTACCACGACCTCACAGAATACCGGCGTGAAGTAGAAGCTTTGCTTCTGCGTTTCGTCTGGTGAGTGCAGGTGGCCGGAGGCCCAATTCCCCCCCCCCCCCCCCCCCATCAACATGGTAGCGGAATTACACGAAGAACTACCCCAGGAGGGTACCAGCACCCCTGGAGAATCCCTCGCTGAGCATCCACGACCATGTTATTCCGATCCTGAGCGTGGGTGCTCAGGCTGCCCCGCGTATTCTGGGGGGGGCAAGATTCCGCTCAAAAGCATTACTGCTAGGGGCAAACTGAGCAAGAACACCAAGGCGACCCCTGCCACGCTATCCGTGAATTTCTGCAACATCAGGGGACTTCACTCTAACCTAAACGCCGTCCACTACCATCTCGAGACGGCGAAGCCGGCCTTGCTCTTTCTGACCGAGACGCAGGTTTCCTCTCCGGCTGATATTTCGTATCTCTCCTACCCGGGGTACAAATTGGAGCATTCCTTTGTGCCTCGGGCTGGAGTTTGCGTGTATGTCAGAGAGGACATCTGTTCTCGACGCCTCGGCAGTCTTGAAGGTTCGGACCTGTCCATCCTTTGGCTACGCGTAGACAGCGACGACCATCCGCGCGTCTACGGGTGCCTCTATAGGTCCCATAGCGGTAATGCCGAAACAGACCGACTCATCGACCACGTCCAAATGGCTACAGATTTCTTGCTACAACAGGTCCCATCCGCAGAGATCGTGATCCTTGGCGATTTTAACGCCCACCATGCCGAATGGCTCGGATCACGTCTAACCGATCATGCGGGGAGATCTGTTTATGACTTTGCCTTGGCATATGGTCTGACACAAATGGTTACTTCGCCTACGCGGATTCCAGATGTGGAGGATCATACACCTTCCCTGTTGGACCTTCTGCTGACCTCTCATCCGAACGGATATCAGGTTTCCGTCGATGCCCCTCTCGGCTCTTCGGACCATTGTCTGATCCGGAGTGTGGTGCCACTCACGTTCCCTTCGCGGTTGCGTTCTGCAGGTTGCCGCCGTGTTTGGCATTACAGGTCGGCGGATTGGGACGGAATGCGGTCCTTCTTTGCATCCTACCCATGGGGGCGGGTTTGCTTCTCGCCGGATGATCCCAGCGCTGTTGCTGACTCTGTCACTGATGTGGTGCTACAGGGAATGGAACTATTTATTCCATCATCTGTGGTACCCATCGGAGGCAGATCTCAGCCTTGGTTTGGTCGCTCCTGTAAGTACACGTAAATACGTGCACTTTGTAAGTGCACGTATGGGCAGGCTCGAGCCGGGTTGGTACCACGACCTCACAGAATACCGGCGTGAAGTAGAGGCTCTGCTTCTGCGTTTCGTCTGGTGAGTGCAGGTGGCCGGAGGCCCAATTCCCCCCCCCCCCCCATCAACATGGTAGCGGAATTACAAAGTAGACTACCCCAGGAGGGTACCAGTACCCCTGGAGAATCCCTCGCTGAGCATCCACGACCATGTTATTCCAATCCTGAGCGTGGGTGCTCAGGCTGCCCCGCGTATTCTGGGGGGGGCAAAATTCCGCTCAAAAACAAAACTGCTTGGGGCAAACTGAGCAACAATACCAAGGCGACCCCTGCCACGCTATCCGTGAATTTCTGCAACATCAGGGGACTTCACTCTAACCTAAACGCCGTCCACTACCATCTCGAGACGGCGAAGCCGGCCTTGCTCTTTCTGACCGAGACGCAGGTTTCCTCTCCGGCTGATATTTCGTATCTCTCCTGCCCGGGGTACAAATTGGAGCACTCCTTTGTGCCTCGGGCTGGAGTTTGCGTGTATG